TCCTTCAACAGCATTTCCAGCCGGGGGTTTGGGATTCACCTTCTCTGAACAGAGAGACAATTCTTTCTCTCCCAGGTTTTTTCCTGGAGAAGCAGAGAATAGAATGATCAGAACAGTTTTGCTGCTCCTGTGTTTGTGCACAAGCAGAATGCATTATGGAAGATTGTTTACCTGGAGGGATTTGGTAATTGGATTCTGGTATGAGTGTTTTGTTTTTTTGTCCAATCTCTGCAAGCTGTGTCCTGATGGTTGGGCAGGAGACAGTCACGAGACTTTGTTCAGCTTAGTTCTTGTTCAGTTTCAGTTTAGATGTAGTGTAATATCGTGTAATATAGTATAGAATAACATAGTATAATAAAGTAATTAATTAGCCTTCTGATGTCATGGAGTCCTGCTCATCATTCTTCCTACAGTCAGGCAAAATTACCCCGATACAGGGGCTCCATTCCCAGCTCCATGTCTGGGAATCCACGGCGTGGCACAGGGAAATCTTTCACTCGGAGTGACAGCCTGCCCAGGGAATGGGGTAAAACAGTGATGAGAGAAGGTTGGAGAGGGTGAGAGCAGCAGCAAGTCCAGAGCAAGTCCAGGTGCTTGTTGCTGCGTGCACCTCTGCTCCACGCTGTGTAATTCCTGCTTCCAGCCCCATCCCCAGGCACTCAGGGGAGCACAAGCAGGAGCTGGGAGACTCTTCCAGCCCCACTGCTCAGGGGAAGGAAAAGGTGAGGTGAGGACAAAGCCAGGAACTGAGGCAAAGCAGAGTTTTCACTGCAGCAGATTGTTCTAAAGCTGATGCATCCATTCCTGAGGTGCCTTTGGGATGGCACAGGTGGTGTGGGAAAGTGCTGGGCATCTCCTATCTGCAGTGGAAGGAATTCTGGCCTCAGTAACTCCCTGCAGCTCCTCAAGGGCTTTCTCACATGCCTGGTTTAGGATGAGATGAAAGCTGAGGGTGTGGAGGTGCCCTGACCGCCCCAAATGGCCTTTTGATTGCCCAGCCGTCCTTCCTCAGCCTTGAGGAGTTAAAAACTTCCAGGCGAGCAGAGGAGATGAAGCACTGTCCTCTCCCATTGCCTCCTTGCACTGCTGGACCTTGCCATGGCTGTTTTGTCTGCACACAGGGCATCCAAATTCCTCAGGTTATTCCTGTTGGGACTGTGTGGCACATGCAAGAAATGAAGTAATGCAGAGGGTTTTTTCATTCTAATCTGTGTCCATAGTGTGGGATGGCTGTGCTCCCCTGCCCACGAGCAGGGACTGTTGGGTCCTCTCCATGCAGTCTTTTTACTCCTTGAAATTGCTGAATTATCTTCAGCAAACTGGTACTGGAAAGATAAAGTCACTAAATCCCACACATGCTCATCGTGGTGGATTTTAATTAACCTTTTCCCTGCAGCCCTGCTCTGTAATCCAGGCTAATTGCTGCAGGGATTAGAGCCTGGCACAGCTGCTCAGCCAGACAGAGCAAACCTCCAGTGTTCTCCTGCCTGTGCTTCCAGCTGGGCTCCATCGCCTCCTCCTCAGCCCTGCAAGGAGATAAACTGCCTCCCTACCAAATATTTAATACTTTGCAGAGCTGCTGTTGCCGCTTTCTTTCCCCTCACGTGTAGCTCTTGTTGGAGATAAATCAGTATTCCTTCTGGAAGGACCTGTGTGTGTTCAGGGAGTTCAGCCAGCCTAAGCCTCACCCTGTGCCCCTTTTCTTTTGTTTTTGTGTTCACTTTCCCTATTTTTGATTGCTGTATTACCTGTGTCAGCCCGTGTAGGTGTCTAACCAAACCTTTTTTTGGGTTTGTGTTCACCTTCCCTGTTTTTCATTGCTGTATTACCTGTGTTAGTCCATGTAGGTGTCTAACCAAACCTTTTTATGGGTTTATGTTCACCTTTCCTATGTCTGATTGCTGTATTACCTGTGTCAGCCCATGTAAATATCTAACTAAACCTTTTTTTTATGGGTTTGTGCTCACCTTCCCTGTTTTTCATTACTGTATTCCTGTGTTAGTCCCTGTAGGTGTCTGAGGTTTCAGAGTTTGTTGCTGCTCAGGGAAGAGGCTGGGATGAGCCTTCCTTGCAGATCTCCAGTTTCTTTACATAACATAGATCAATATTTCTGCTCTCTCATTGATCCCCATCCCCAGCCCTTGCTGCCTTGGGCTCCTCCTCCGTTGGCTCTGCCTGGTACCCACATCCCTGTGCATGCAGAGCAGGGCTTGGCAAACCCTGTCCTGGCACGGCTCTGGCTTGCTCAGAGTCAGCTGAAGAGAAGCCTGTATGCTTCTCATTTGCTCTCCTTTGGTATTGTTAATTCCAAGCAGATTTTGTGAGCTCTCCAGTAGGAAAAGAACCCCGGAGTGCCACGAGCCGCAGCTCGCGGTGTCACGTAGGGCTCGGGGTCCTGCTGCCAGCACCTGCACCAGGGCCAGTGTGACCTTCCCAGAGCTCTCCTGCTGGCCCTGGGAGCAGCTCCTGCTGCCTCCCAGTCTGTTGTACTTGCAGGGAGGAATGATGAATCTGACTCCATGTTCTTAGAAGCTAATTTATTATTTTATGATAATATATTGTATTAAAGAATACTATACTAAAGAATACAGAAAGGATACTTACACAATGCTAAAAAGATAATAATGAAACTCCTGACTCTTTCCAGAGTCCTGACACAGCTTGGCCCTGATTGGCCAAAGAGTGAAAACAACTCACAGCAGAATGCAATGAAACAATCTCCAACCACATTCCACATGAGCACAACATGGGAGAAGCAAATGAGATAAGAATTGTTTTCCTTTTCTCTGAGGCTCCTCAGCCTCCCAGAAGAAAAATCCTGGCCGAAGGGATTTTTCCAGAGAATGTGAATGCCACACCAGTCCCTATTCCCAGCTGAGTCACTGTCTCCAGCCTCGGGCACTCCTGGAGGTGCTGCTGCTGCTGCCAGGGCTGGCTGGTGGATCTGGCCCCTCTCTGCCCCTGGGGACAGTGTTGTTTTGGTCACACCACAGTGCAGGGTGTCCCAAAATCTCCCTGGTGCTGCAGAGGAGATCAGGGAGGCTCCAGGAGGGACTCTGGGTGGCAGGGAAGGTGATGGGTGATTTTATATCTGCTCTCCCCAGCCAGGAGGGGGTTGGGATGGGGACAGCCCTCTGCAATCACCGAGATTTAGAGGGTGAAAAGTACAAAGGGGGAAGAGGAGCCACGGAGAGAGGAGATGTAAAATTACTGAGTATGAGTAATGGGGTGAAAGTAAGAAGTTTACTCAAGACATCACTAAGTTTCTTGGACAGTGAATTCTCAACAGTTTCAGATTAGAGTTGAAGGGAAGCAGTGGAATAGTCATTTAAATGCAGACCAAAAAACTTTATTATGCTACATAAAACCTTTCCAAAACCCAGTTTTCCTGTTCCTGAGCTGACTAGAGCCAGTTCTGTGTATTAATAGCTAATCCTGCCCACAGAGATGAGTAGGGAGTGCCTCAGGGGCTCTAGGGCTCTGCAGTGTCCCAAGTGTGTGCAGAGGAAAATGATTTAATCAGAATTAGGTTGCTTTGACCGGCATCTCAGACTCATGCCATCACATTTTTCCCCTTGGAAAGCCACTTTGGCTTTGGCTCACTCTTCACAGAGCATCACTCAAAGCTTATGTTTCACCTCAAAAATCTATTCATTTTCCTTTCTTTCAGTATTAAGTGTTGCGGAAAAAAAAAAAAACAAACCAGGAAGAAAATACTAAAACCTCCTAAAAGGCTCAGTCCACTGAATAAAGCAAAGGGCTGGCACTACAGAAATGAGCATTTTGCTGGGTTGAGGGAGAGCACAGCTGCAATGGGAGTTCTGCAGGAGGAGCCCAGCATGGCCAGTGCAGCAGGACACCCCAAGACAAGGTTGGGGGTTCCTTGGGACAGAGGAGGGGTTTTTATGACCTCTGAGCTTTAGGTTTTAATGTTTTCAGCCTTGCTAAGAAAAGTGCTGTGAGAAAAGATTTTGTATTTGCATGTAATTTGTGTTTTGTATGTAATTTTGTATTATCACTGTAGAGCTCAGACTCAAACAGGCGTCACCTTTCCCACTTTTCCCATTCCACCCCTGACCCAGACCTTCCCTTGCTGCTGGCTGGTTTTCTTGGCAATTAGTCTGACAAATATAAAAATTGGCTCAGCCAAGGCTGTGTTGCTCCTTTTTTTTTCGGTGCCCTTTTCCTGCCCAGTGGGAGCTGTGGGTGAAGCAGAGCTGGGCTGGGGCACTGGGCACGTTCCTGCACCTCTGGCGTGTGAGGACACGGCCGGGGACCCACCCTGCCGTGATTCACTCAGGAAATGTTTCTTTATCTTCTCAGTAACAGTCGTGGATGGGAACTGAGCTGGCTCCGGGCTGGCCTTGCTGGGAGGGGTTTGGGGGAGCTGGAGGTGAAGAAAGTGCAAAGAAAAGCCCAAATGGAGAAACCCAAGCTGCTGAAGTTTGTCTCTCCATGAGGAAGGGAATGGCTGGTTGGGTGCTTTGTTGTTCCTGGAGTGGGATTCTGGTTCCCCACTCTGATCCTTCCCAGTCAGAAAGGTTGTGTAGGTGCACAGCTGTGCACACCCACAAATGGCAGGAATTAAGGGATTGCACAACTCTGTCCTCATCATCTCCATGTTTCTGATCATGAACAGGGAGAAATCTGCCTCACAAACTTCCTTTGACAAGCAAGTATAAGGGTAAAATATGAATTAATCCATTATCCTGGAGTCAGTGGGAAAGGTGACCATTGGCAGGTGATCCGATGAGGATGGTTTGTGCTGGCTGACAAATCAAATTGGGTTTTTGTGGTTGTTGATCACTGATTGCAGGTTTGTGCCTGGAATTTCACAAACAGCTTGACTGACTGAATGCAACAAAATGGCCAATCTTGTTCCCTTTGCTTTCATCCCTCAGATCCAGAGTCAGGCAGCAGAGGATAAATATTCCTGAGCTCAGACACCCTCCTGTCCACTTGCCTGAATTTTTACCCACTTTCCCCTTGTTTTTTTGCAGATGTTGATGAGTGCCAGGTGCACAACGGGGGCTGCCAGCACCGCTGTGTGAACACCCTGGGCTCCTTCTACTGCGAGTGCCAGCCCGGCTTCCGCCTGCACACGGACGGCAGGACCTGCCTCGGTGAGCCTGCCCTGCACATCCCTTGGCAATCTCTCTTTGCAGCCCTTTTCCTACCAGTAAATCCGTGGCAGTGAACAGAAAACCTTGATTTCCTCACTCCCTCCTATTCTCCGTGCCCTGATTGTGAGATAATGCTGATGGGTTTGGGTTCCTCTGTGTCTTCCCTCACAGTTTCTGTCCCTGGGTTCAGAACATTTGCTGTATTTCCATGTGATCACATAAAACTAGGGCTGCTTCGCTGTTCCCGAGTTTATTCTGGTTCAGGAGAATCCCTGGGTTCAGAACATTTGCTGTTCTTCCATGTGGTCACATAAAACTGGGCTGCTTTGCTGTGCCTGAGTTTATTCTGGTTCAGGAGAAGTAACTCTCAAGTGCTTTGGTGCTTCTGCTTTAGATTCAGGATATATCAGATATGGCATTCTTAGAACAGATGCATAAATAAAAATAATGAGGAATTTCAAGTCAGGCTTCATTTTGACCTCAGTATTTCCTCAACATTTCAATATTTTCTCAGTGGGCAGCAGGTGTGACAGACAAGTGACAGTAAATGTGGCTGTGTGTGGAACTGTGGCCATAATAATCCAAAACCTTCTTCTCTGGGATGCTGGCCATGCATTCTCTTGGATGGTGCTTGTCCAAACATCACCATCCAGGCACCAGGTTTGCCCTGCAGCTGATTTTGGGGCCAATTCCTTGAAATGTTGTTGTCTGCCTGCCCCAGACTGGAGGCTCAGAGTGGAACTTGGAGTCTGCCTCCAGCATCTGTGGCTGTTTTAATTAAACCACTTCTCCCCCACAGCTTCATTTGACACATTTTTCCACTATTTGAGGGATATTTTCATGCAAGTGGAAAGAATTCCCGGGCCATGGTGTTTGCAGAGTTTTCTCGGAGCACAGTCACGCTCCAGAGTCTGCCTGTGTGTTCCAGTTGGGAATGGTGATGTGAGCAGGAAAAATCCACCCAGGGAAGCTGTACCCACCGTGCCCAGCTCTGCACTGACACACATCTGGCCACAGCTGCCTCCAGTACATAATGACACCCAACCAAGTGAGACTTAAGGTGCAGGATCCCCATATTTCCCTGGGAATATCCAGAAGGAAAAGGATGGCAAAGAAGGGACAAAGCCAAGCCTGGCAGCCAGCACTGAACTCCACACTCGTGTCGGGGTGACGAGCTGCTGCTGCTCACATGTAAGTGTGCTGTGGTCTGTCATCTCCTAATTGTCCCTGGGATATGTTGCTCCCTTTCTTGTGGTGAGCAGCGATCCCGTGCAGCCACATTTCTCTTCACAGAGAAAAGCAAGGCACAATTCTTCCCAAGAATATTTCTGGGTTTCATATTCTCTGAACCTCAGAGAAAGGAAAAACAATTCTTATCTCACTTGCTCTGCCTGTGTTTGTGCAAAAGTAGAATGAAATATGGAGATTTGTTTCCCCAAAGTGATGGTGTTTTGTTTCCTTGGCCTATCAGGGCCAAGCGTGTGTCAGGACTGTTGGCTGACAATCACAAAAAGAGTACAGTTATGTACAGATCTGAGTGCTTAACAGATTCAGTTTAGATGTAATGTGATATACATCTAAATATAATATAATATAATATAATATAATATAATATAATATAATATAATATAATATAATATAATATAATATCATTATAATATAATATAATAAATATAATATAATATCTTTATAATATAATATAATATAATGTAATTATAATAATATATAATATATCATATATGAAAATATATAATTATAATATATGCTAGATGATATATATAATATATAATATATACAATATGCTATGATATTAGAACATTATAATAATATATAATAATATATAATTGTAGTAATTTAATATAATAATATCATATGATTGTAATAGAATAATATAAATATAGTGTCATATAATATAGAATAATACGGTATAATAAAGTAATTAATTAGCCTTCTGATATCCATAGAGCCCTCATTGTTCCTCTCCTTTGGGGGCAAAAAAAATCAATGGTAATCCTGCAGCTGCCCACACCTTGCAGAACAAAACGTGGGACAGGAGTGCTCAGCAGCCCCAGCCCCAAAAGTTCTCAGTTCTCAGGAAAAGCATTAAATGCGTCTCTAGAGGGAGGAATCTCTTCTTTAAGAGGAATTTTCATAGTTTTCTTTTGCTCTCCAGGCTTCCCTGCTGGTGCATTCCCACAGGATCCAGCCCCACTCCTGCTGCCCATGCCCAGCACTGCAAACCTGCTTTGCATTAAACTTGTGAGCAAATATTAGCCATAAAGTGCAGTGCTGGAATTCATCTGCCAAAAGTGAGAGGTCTCTGTTCAGGAAATCTGATCACGAGTGAGTGGGGCAGTTCCTGGAGCTATGGGGAGTGGAGCCTGCAGGATCTGCAGTGAGTTTGTGCTGGTACCCCTGGGATCCAGAGCACCCAGGAAGGCAAAGCAGACCAGGCAGGGCAAATAAAAACCTCTCACGGCATAATTATCTAATAATGTTTCTAAAATGGATCTAAAATGGGGCTTTCTCATTTCAGGACTGGTGGCTTTTTCTATTTACAAATTTGTGCCTGTCCATGTGTATATGTCACACCTTCACAGAGCTCTGTACTGACCCAGTTGTGAGGAGGGTGGAACACCTTTTCCTCAGAAAAGCTCAGAACAGAGCAAGGCTCAGAGGTGCCTCCTCTGCTGGTGTTTGTGGCTGTGCTGTTGTACCCACAGACACCAGGTTGCCTTGTGGTCAGTTCTGAGGGATTTCTAAGAAAAAACAAAGCTGTTTTTCTCTTCAAGCTGGGATGTCCTCTCATTTTCTGTAGAGATTCTGTGCTGTTAAAACACAAAATATTGCCACTAGATATAGAGAATAGGCCAGAAATGAAGGGAACTGGAGACAGTGAGCATCCATCCATCCATCCATCCATCCATCCATCCATCCATCCATCCATCCATCATCCATCCATCCATCATCCATTCATCCATCCATTCATCCATCATCCATCCATCATCCATCCATCCATCATCCGTCCATTCATCCATCCATCATCCATCCATCCATCATCCGTCCATTCATCCATCCATCATCCATCCATCCATCATCCGTCCATTCATCCATCCATCATCCATCCATCCATCATCCGTCCATTCATCCATCCATCATCCATCCATCCATCATCCGTCCATTCATCCATCCATCATCCATCCATCCATCATCCGTCCATTCATCCATCCATCATCCATCCATCCATCATCCGTCCATTCATCCATCCATCATCCATCCATCCATCCCTCCATCCATCCTTGTCCTGCTGAGGGAAGCTCGCAGCTCCACACTGGGACAAGCACAATTTTGGGTGGTAGGAAGCTCCTGGCTGCCCCAGCGAGAGTGTTCTGGGTACAGAAAGAGGCCTTTGCAGTCAAGTTTCTCATTAAGGGCTGTCAAATCATGGATTTAATCCTTTAAATGCTTTCTGGTGCCCACAAAACCCACAAAGGCTCCGATGATGGACCGGCTGCGCTGAGCTGGAGCTCCACGATTCACCCACAATCGTGCCAAGGGTTAGTTGTTACCTGGGGCTGTGACTCAGGAGGGCACAAAAATGGCTTAAAACCCCTTTCCTGTGCCCAGCTCTCAGCTGGTGCTCTGCAGCTCCCTTGTGCAGGATCCTTTTGTTGTGCCTTTGTTCCGACGGCCGCTGAGAGGGGGAGAAAAGGAGCAGCCGCTTCCACTGCGAGTGAAACAGAACAAAGAGAGGCCTTGGGCGTCCTGAAATTACCTCTTTCTTTATCAGAACCACATGGGCAGGAGGCAGGAAGCTGACATCTCCAGGTCCTTCTCCACTGTTTCAGCAGAGGGATGCAGGCCAGGCCGAGGCTGAGGGCTTTAATGGGAGCCAATTGCTTTTGTTGGCCTGAGGAGCAGGGAGATGGTCTGGATTAACACACAACATGTTTCTGGAAGTTGTCTGAGGTCTGGAGAAATCAGTTAGGGATTACATGATGGAGCCCTGTTTGTATCAGGAGAACTTCAAATGGAGAAATCTCAGTGATAGGGGTGATATAATGAACAGAGGGACCATGCCAGGAGGTTTGTGTGGGCTTGAGCTGTGTGTGCAGGGACCACGTGTGCTTGGTGGGGCTTTCCACTTTGCAGACACCTCGCACATTTTAGGGAATTTGAACTTTTCTTTGCCCAGTCACACATTTTTCAGCCTTTTCTTAGAATTGCTGGGGGTTTGTGTGATGCTGCAGAAGGAACATCCTGCTCAGTTCTAGTCACAGCTGCTCACAGTCACTTTTAGGGTATCAGCTCGCTGCTTCTGGTGGCAAATCACTTGTGTCTGAAGGAAAGGTGAGAGGGAGGAAAGAGGAGAAGTGAGAAGAGAGAGAAAAAGTCAGAAGGGCAGCTGGAGGGTGCAGAGATCAGATATTAACTCAATTCCTATGTTAGGCTGCTGCTGCACAGATCCACTTCCCAGCTGCAATCAGGAGCAAAAATCTCCTTTCCATCCCTCTTTATCCATTTCCCAGACCTGAGAGGGTCAGAATCTGGGAGCAGCATCTTCCAGCAGCACTGCACTCCCCTCAGACAGCGGGGCTGGAAGGAACCTCCCTCTCTCAGACACTGAAATATCATCTGTGGAAAATCTGTCTGAGCTGTAATTACAAAAATCTGTGTGATGTACAGGATGACACTGGGCTTGGCAGCCTTGTCACAGAAATGTTAAGCTCGGCAGAGCATCTGGGAATGGAAATATTTTTAGAGTGGTTCTGTAAACAGAATAAAAACCCTGAGCAGTAATTAAAACAAGGCCAGCAGTGAGGTCTGCTGGCTGTGACTGCGAGGAGCCAGCTGAGGAGACCCAGCCTCACACGGGTTCTCTCTCCTGAAATCTTGCATGGAAGAACCCAGACTTTGGATTTTTTAGGAGTTTGCAAGGAGGCTGTTATTTGAACTTCAAATTAATCCGAATAACTGCATCCTGGGAGGTTATTTTAGACACAAGATGCATTGGCTTGTTCCATGTTGGCCCAGTGCTTTTCCCAGATGAAGGAATGTTTTGGCAGGCATCAGCATTGTTTGACTTGTTTTCTTTTTTTATTTTAACAAAAAGGCTCTCCAACAAGCACATTATTTATGGCTATTTTTGAATATATGTTATTAAACACTTAAATTTATTAGAATATTTTTAAATGACCACCCATCTCTGCTAGAGCTTGAGTAGTGTAACTCTGACCCAGAGCTTTTCAGGAACGTTAAGTATTTCTTGTTTCCTTCCAAATGGATTAAAGGAAACAATGCCAGCACAACTAACATAAACCCCAAGTTCTTGCTCCAGCCTTATGATTTGTATGGCAAAATCTTGACCCTGTCAAGCTGCTTTTATTCCCCCAAATGTTGTTTAGCTAATTAGAGGCATAAAATGAAAAGTTGAGTTATTTTAACATTTGGAATGAGAGTGATCCTCAGCTCTGAGTCAAAGCATTTTTTTTTTACAGGGGAAGGGTGTGCAGAAAAAAAATGAATTTTTTTTTTGCCTTTATTTTTGTCCTGAGCCAAATATTTGTTTTCACTAATGTATAAGAGCAAGGATCCAACTTGCCCTGGGATTCAGAGGTGTGTTACAAGCAGAGATTTCTGCTGGCAGCTGCTTTCCAGGCTCTCCTGCTTCCAGAGCTCTGGAGGTTGTGGAGAGCACTGTGATCACCTGAAGGATCAGTCTGGGGAGAGATGGTTTTCATTAGAGGTATTTTTAGCTTTTCTATAAGATTCCTCTGAGCCAGCACATGAGTTTATTCTGGAGTTTGAAAAATAGGTCAGAAACGTGTGAGGCCAGAGCTGATCGTTCTGCTCAGCTTAGGGGAGCCAGGGCTGGGTTTCCATCCTGGGCCAGGGCCAGCTCCAGCCATGTTCCACCAGCCCAGTGGGTTGTGACACTTTGGTGGCTCCTGAGAGACAGAACAGGGGTTTAAAGGCCAATTTCCCAGTTCTCATAAGAGACAGCGCTGGAGGAGCTCAGTGCATGAGGAGTTGGGTGGGTTAGCTCAGGAGACATCCAGTGCTCCAAGAGGGGACTTGTATGGCTTTGGAGGCATGTCAGCATCCCACAATGACTTCTGTACCAGAGTCCATCAATCCAGCTCCAGAAAGTCCTTCTCTGTTTAGTTTCCCAGCTCAAATTCCTCCTGGATCTGAGGTTGATGGTCCTGGAGAGCAGCAATGAAAACAAAGCTTCTGACATTGCCCTGGCTGCTCACAAGGTGCTCCCATCCCAGTTAAACACCCCTCTGTCTGCTGATCCTGCAGACACATCCCAGTTACAGGAACAAGAGGAGGCTGTTCCCAGGCTGATTAATGATAGCAGGCTTGTGAGGAGTCCACGTGCTCTCCACGGGGTCTGTTTTGTGCTGTAGCCTAGGCAAAACCTTCTGTTTCCTGCCTGCTTGGAATCTGCTTGTGCAAGGCCACACAGAAGAGCTGTGGCACAGCCAGGAACTCCAGTTTTTGTCCAGAGCCAAATGTTTGCTTTCACTGATGTACAAGAGCAAGGACCCAACTTGCCCTGGGATTCAGAGGTGTGTTACAAGCAGAGATTTCTGCTGGCAGCTGCTTTCCAGGCTCTCCTGCTTCCAGAGCTCTGGAGGTTGTGGAGAGCACTGTGATCACCTGAAGGATCAGTCTGGGGAGAGATGGTCATGGGTATGTTTTATGCTGTAGCTCAGGCAAAACCTTCTTCAGTTTCCTGCCTGCTTGGAATCTGTTGGGCTCCTTATGCAAGGCCACACAGAAAAGCTGTGGCACGGCCAGGAGCTCCAGTTTTCGTCCTGAGCCAAATATTTGCTTTCACTCATGTACAAGAACAAGGACCCAACTTGCCCTGGGATTCAGAGGTGTGTTAGTTCTGCTGGCAGCTGCTTTCCAGGCTCTCCTGTTTCCAAAGCACTGTGATCACCTGAAGGATCAGTCTGGGGAGAGATGGTCATGGGATCTGTTTTGTGCTGTAGCTCAGGCAAAACCTTCTGTTGCCTGGCTTCTTGGAATCTGTTGGGCTCCTTGTGCAAGGCCACACAGAAGAGCTGTGGCACGGCCAGGAACTCCAGTTTGGAAGCTCAATTCCCAGTCCTGCCTGCACTGAGGATGAAATCAGAGCTCCTGCTGCTGTGTCTCTGTGTGCTCTGTCTAGGTGACACCGCTGCTCACAGCAGCAGGGACCCCACATGCCCCAGGTTCCACACAGAAATCTCCTGCTCAGAGCCCTGAGCTGGGGGTTGTTACACCTGGCCCAGGTATGGACACACAGGATGCATATTAAAACAATTTCTCCTGAGTGTTCCCACAACTGGCAGCACCTGCTGGGCCTCGGTGACTTTTGCACATCCCAGAGCCAGAAACTCAGTTTTTTTACAGGAAAACCTGCATGTGCCTCAGCACAACTCTCTGAGCAGTAATGGCTTGAGGCAGCTGTGCCACTGCACCTGCAGGGACTGTCCTGGGACTAAAGGATGGGAATTCCAGGAGCAGCACAGAGCCTGGCTGCTGACACGGCGCCCTTTGAGAGGGCGGATGCCTGGCAGGAAACCTGCTTCCCTCCCATGTAGTGCTGGACAGGACCTGACCCAGCTCCCTGTGTCCTGGAATCACCTTCAGGGAGACCCCTGGGGCCTCTTATGGCGTGAAAGAACCATTTAAGGGGAGATTTAGGCTGGGTGTTAGGGGGAAGTTCTTCCCCAAAAGGGGGATCAGGCGTTGGCTGTCCAAGGAGGTGGTGGGGTCACCAGCTTTTATTCTGCCCAACACTGCTGAGCTGATCTTGCCTTGGAAGAGCAGGATGCCCACCTGGCACGGAGCTGGGTGGCCTCTCCTGCACTGCCCACGGGTTTTGCAGCAGCATCTCCCACTTAACACCCTCCTGGCTCATCAAGTTGGCCACAAACTTGTCACTGAATGTGCTCCAGTCTTCAATTCACACCAGCTTTAAGAGTGGGCAGTCTGCCCTGGCCCTGTGTGAGAGGTGCCCTTCACACATGCAGGTGCCAAACCTGTGTCCCTGTGTCCCCAGGTGCCACCCAAATGTCACTGTCATATTTGCTTAAAAATCCTTTGCCAGGATTTTTTCTCCTGAGAAGCTGAGAAGCCTCAGAGGAAAAGAAAAACAGTAATTATCTTCTGATGTGGAATGCAACAGGTGCATCTGAGTGTTGCATGTTGTTTTTACTTGATGCCCAATCATGGTCCAGCTGTGTTGAGGTTCTGAGAGTCACAGGTTTTTATTATTCATTCCTTTCTGGCTTTCTGTCTGTATAATTTCTCTGTTCTTTTTAGTATAGCTTGAATATAGCATATAATATCAGCCTTCTGAATCATGGAGTCAAGATTCTCATATCTTCCCTCGTCCTGGTGACCCTCGAACACAACGACAATCCAAACTCCTTTTTTGCCAAACCTTGTGTCCCCTTGCAGCTCTGAACTCGTGTGCCCTGAACAACGGTGGCTGCGAGCACGACTGTGTGCAGGTGACCCTGGCCCAGCACCGCTGCCAGTGCAGGCACAACCACCAGCTGCACGAGGATGGCAAACGCTGCATCCGTGAGTCCTGGGGGGCTGGGGAGCCAGGGATTCCAGCTGGGAGCTGTGGGAATGGGGATGCTCAGATGTCCAGCAGATCAGACTGGGGGATTTCCAGTAAAAACTCTGTGTGTTTTGTTGTCATGGACATATCCTGTGGTTTGTTCCAAGGGATGGGAAGAGCTGGAGGAGTTGTAGCCAACAAAAATGAAATTGTATGAAGGCACAGGCTGCTGTGGGAGGGGAGGGACAGCAAAGTGTGGCAGTGGGGTGGGATCATCTCCCTGTCTGGCTGACCTGCTCCTGGCTCAGGAGGGAGAGAAGCTGAAGGGGACAGAACACAAGGTTGTTCTCGTTCCTGGCAGTCGGCATTCGAAAGGCAGGAAGGAGGGAAGTCCTGAGCTGTGAAGTTGCTACAGCAAAAGAAACAACTGGGATGTAAAAAAGCAGCAGTCAGAGAGGTTTGGAGCATCTGTCCTGGTCCTGGGGCAGGTCAGATATTGGGAAAACTCTGGTTAGCAGTATTTGGAGCAAGCTGCCAGCACTTGCTGTGTAATCTCTGCAGAGGGACGTGCCCGTGCCAAGCTTCTCTGGCAGGGTTTTACCCAGCTTGATGCCAGCCTTGTGCAGCATCTCACAGCGTGTACATCCTCCTGAACGGGCAGAGCAGGGATTTTCTGCCTGGCATTCTCACAGGCTGCAGCGTGCAGGATCTGTGTGGGGTGACGCGGCTCTGTGCTCTGCCTGCAGTGAGGAACCCGTGCTCGGACAGGAACGGGGGCTGCATGCACCGCTGCCACAGCCACCGCGGCCGCGCCCGCTGCGAGTGCCACCCCGGCTACCTGCTGGCCCCTGATGGCAAGGCCTGCCAAGGTGAGTGCCCTGCAGAGCTCCCCTGCAGGAAAAGCTCTGGGTCTGATGGGCCAGGGCGTGCTCAGTGGGAACAGAGTGGAGGGAAGGACATGCCTCTTGTATTTATGCGGTTCCCAGATGAAGGAAGGAATGATGGACTGACTCCATGTTCTTAGAAGGATAATTTATTATTTTATTATTTATATTATATTAAAGAATACTAAACTATACTAAAGGATACAGAAAGGATACAGACCGAAGGCTAAAAAGATACTAATGAAAAACTTCAGAGTCCCGACACAGCTTGACCCTGATTGGCCAATAAGTCAAAACAATTCACATGAAACCAATGAAACAACCACCTGTTGGATAAACAATCTCCAACCACAATCCAAAGCAGCAAAACACAGGAGAAGAAAATGAGATAATATTGTTTTCCTTTCTCTCTGAGGCTTCTCAGCTTCCCAGGAGAAGAATCCTGGGCAAAGGGATTTTTCCAGAAAATCCCAGACTGCCACACATGCCTTCCCTTGGGTGGCTTAGGTGGTGTCTGTGCAAGAGCCCTTCTGGTGCTGTCTGCAATGACAGAGCTGCTCCAGGGGAGATTTAGGCTGGGCATTAGGGAGAAGTTCTTCCCTGAAAGGGGGATCAGGATTTGGAATGGGCTGTCCAAGGAGGTGGTGGAGTCACCATGTTTTATTCTTTATTTAAGAATAAACTTTAAGAAAAAACATGTGGCACTGAGTGCCATGGTCTGGTGACAAGGTAGTTTTAGGTCAAAGGTTGGACTCGATTGTCTCAAAGACCTTTTCCAGCCTAATTGATTTTGTGATTCTGTGAATGTCCCACTGTCATGTCCCCATCTCCTGGGAAGCTTTACAGCAATCCCAAACTCTTACCTCTGTGTCTTTATTGGTCTGCACCCCAACGAAGAGTTCAGGCTGCAAGAAACCGGTGCAGAACTCAAATACCATAACAACAGTCCTTTGGAAGGATGTTTAAAGTTCAGCCTACTTATCTTGGGCTTTCTCCTTCTCCCAGATGTGAACGAGTGCCTGAAAGGGCTGGCCATGTGTGCACACCAGTGCCTCAACACCCGGGGCTCCTTCAAGTGCACCTGTAACCCGGGCTACGAGCTGGGGGCGGATGGCAAGCGCTGCTACCGTGAGTACTGCGGGCTCAGCTCTCATGTCTTCATTTCTTTTCTGCCAGGGGCAGAATTAAATGTGTGAGATAGTATTTCTTGTTTGGACTCAGATGTTTATTAGTTCATATCTATGTCCCACTCTCACAAACCCTGAGTTCTACAGCACTTCACTCTAAAAAAAGAAAAATGGAGCTGTGTCTCTCTCTACAAGGCCTTTTAAGGATAAACTGTCCAATTAAGAAATGACACTTCAATTATTTTTACTTTTAACCCAATAACCAACCACCCGTAGCCTGCAATGTGGACTTTTTTTATCCAGTTATACAAAACCACCCAAACTCATGGAGAAGAAGATGAAGAAGAAGGTGAAGTAGAAGAAGGACCAGCCTCCACCCTAAAACCTCCATCTTGTTTTATATATATCACTATATTCTAAACCCTTAAAACTCTCAGTTTTCCACCCTGTGACATTACACACTTCTATTCAAACTCCACATCCACAATCCCAGTTCTATCATTCCATTTTGGAATCCTTCTCCACGGCCCAGGTCAATGCAGTGTTCTCTTGTGTCTGTCAGCACAGAAAGTCTGAAATTCTCAGTGACCAGGCTTCCAACACTCAGCCCTGCCCAGCAGGACAGGGCACACCTGGGCTGCTGCAGGCCCATGTTTGTCACTGCCCTCTGGGAATCGCCAGGGCCAAGCTGTGGCAATCTCTGCTGAAGGATTTCACAAGCAGTTTTGAGGCTGTTTACTCCCCCACTAAGATAAAAATCTTGGTCTGGTCTTTAAAGTCACCACAAAGACACTTTAGCTGGTTAAAGCAATTGATTTGGAGCCATTTGGCTTCAAATAAGCCAACTTCTGCTCTTGGGGACTCTGCTGGACAGGCTCAGTCAGCTGCAGATGTGTCACTGGAGGAATTGAGCCAGAGAAGGGATCACATCTGCTCCCATCAAGGAAAGAAATAAGCTCGGTGATGCAAGAATGAGCCAGACTGTCCTCACAGCTTCGTGCAGCTGCTGCACCCCAGCAGGGCCAGGCTGAGCCAGAGCCACCAGCCCCTGACAGATGACAGCCACCGTGGCAGTCCCAGTGCTGGCAGCTGGTGCTACTGGGAGCCTTGAGGGTCCCCTTGTGCAGCTGCTGGAGCTTGGCAAGGCTGGGAGGACAAGGCTTTGCAGGCCATAAACGGGTCCTGAAAGGCATCAAACAGAGCAATATGGGGCACCAGGATGATGACATGAGGCTGAAGAGCCTAAGTATGTGCACAGCTTTCTTCTTAGGGACACAGCCAGTCTCACACCATGACACTGACATTGCCCTGGGGTCGGCAAAGCAGCCTTTCCACAGGAAAGGTTTCTCCCTGCCCTTCCTGGCACATTTCTTTTAATAACCCCGTTTTGTGCTGCTTTAGTAAGAAAAGGGAAGGGAGGGATGACAGTCACGTTGTGAAATCTGGAAAAAGTCTTCCACTGTGGCACAGCTTTTGTTTTTGACAAGCACAGATCCATTGGGAAGCATCAAGCTCCCTTTCTTTCATCCTCCTTGGTTCTGAATGCACGAAAAACTCAGCGCTCTTGAAGGCAGAAATTGTTTTCCTGAGGTTCAGGACTGAGTCAAAGCTCCATGAAACAAGTTCCTTTTAGTTTAAGAAAGCTTAATTAACTAGACAAGTTTACAGAAACCTTGCCAAGCTCGGATGATCTATGGCTGCAATTGATGTTTGCGCCGACCGCTTTTGACATGTCAGGAGCTAACGATTCTCGCTGTAGGCATCTGGATGTTTCCCTACTTAGCTGTGTTCTGCTGCTCCCATTTCTGCCTGGCACCAGAACAGCTCTGCTCTGAGGCTGAGCCAACTTCTGGTTGGCAGCACACGCTGCTGCTTGGCAGGAGTGGGAGCCTGTTCATCCCAGAGACTGTCCAGAGCCTGCTCCACAGCCCCGTCCCTGAGAGGCTGCGTGAGATCCTGAGGTTTCTTTTTATACCCCACTTCCCAGCCCAGCAGTGGCCTCTGTGCTGAGCTATTTCCATCCTTTCCCACTGCAGATCCCCCTCCTGAGCAGGGATGCAGTGCCAGGAGCTGGTGGGGGCAGGCAGGGGCCAGCTGCGTGTGCAGATGTGTCCCACAGGATCCTAACCAGGCTGCCTTTTCCAGGGATAGAGATGGAGATTGTGAACAGCTGTGAAACCAACAATGGGGGCTGTTCCCACGTGTGCCACCACACCAGCTCTGGCCCAGTCTGCACCTGTAACTTTGGCTTTAGGCTGGAAGAGGACCAGAAGTCGTGCACTGGTAAGGAACAGGAAAAGGCCAGACCTTGATTTCCAAGCACATCCCAGGTAACGGTGAGGATCCCTCTTGGGATCTTAGGTCAGGATCCCTCTTCGCTACTGTGTATGTGCACTTCAAACAGGCTAAAGAGGATAGAAGCTGATGGAAAGTGAGAGCAGATGAAATGTTGCTCTGCTCAAAGATGTCCCCAAACTTCCCTCAGGATGTACTTGGACAGCACTTGTGACTTGGACAGTAATTATGGCTTCCAAACTAATTAGTTTTTCCCGGATGAAACTGCCCCAAGCAGGAGTCAGTCAGCTGGAATCACCCTGCTTGTTAGGACACCTGTAACCACAATCCCCAGCTGGGAATCACAATGAACTTCCCTCAAGGACTCAGGATTCCTCCCTGGATGGGGAGGATGCTCTGTTAACACAAAGCTCCCTGATTTCAGGAGGAACTCGAGAATTCTGGCTCAGCATTTGGCAGTAGATCAGTAAAAGCAGCTTACAGCTCCTGCCACCACTCTGCAGAGTATTAACACCCTTTGTTTCTCGTTTAGATATCAACGAGTGTGACACGGGCTCTCACTGCTGTCAGCAAGACTGTTACAATTACCCTGGGGGCTACGAGTGCTCCTGCCACGCCGGGTACAGGCTCAGCACGGATGGCTGTGGCTGTGATGGTGAGTGCCAACTTCAGAGGTACCAGCTTTAGAGGTGTCACAACAGTGCTGCAAACCCGGGAGCCACAGAGAGTTCTGGTTTTCCTTTGCTGCTGCAGAGGTCCTGTCCCCCTGTTCACCTCCCAGGGACCTTGCAGAGGTCCTGTCCCACTGTCCCTGGCTCCAGGCAGGGCACAGAGGGACACACAGGGTCCCTCTACTTCTAATTTGCCTGTTGTCACCTTCCTCAGTTTGTTTAGTGTTGGGCAGCTCAGTTCTAACCCCCATACTAAGCCCAGCCCAGCTGGAGAGGATTTTTGAACACACCAAGGTCAGATTGGGCTAAGTCAGAGTGAGCTGGCCCAGGCCTGACCCCATTAATTCACACAAACCATTTGATGTTCAACCCCAAAGGGCAGCACTGCCCATCACTTTCACCCAAGGGATAAAGACAAATAACAATGTCTGTATAAAACACAGCCAAGATGGTGACTAATGAAGCTTTTAATTAGGAGAGCAAGAAATTGTCCTACCTGGTTGCCAACAGCCAGGCATTTCTTCCAGTTTCTCCCAGCTCCTACCAGTTTTCCTGCCAGCTTTCTGATGAGTCACCTTCTCAACAGAAAGAATGTGGGGAAAAATCCCCCTGATGGTTGTTCTCACTTCCAAAGCTCTCAACATTTCCCAGGGGAAGGAGCCAAACACACCCGCCTCTTCCTACACAATTAATAATGGATGGGAACTGAAGCCCAGCACATTTTTTTTTTTGAAACCCAGGCACCCCTAATCCCTGAGGTGGTTTAACTCCATTTTTAGAGCTGATGGCTTCACATATTTAGCAGAGAGGATGCCACCAGCCTATTACTCCTGCATGGCCAGGCCCCTGTCACTGCTCCTGTCCCACTGGGGTGTCCCATGTTTTGTAGATGTGGATGAGTGCTCTGCAAACAACGGTGGGTGTGAACACACATGCCAGAACCTGCCAGGCTCCTTCCAGTGTGGCTGTGACATTGGGCACAAGCTGGATGAAGACAGAAGGAGCTGCATCTGTAAGTGCCTCGTCCCAGCTGCCTCAGGCTGGGCAGTGGGTCCCTCCTGTGCCTCCTTAGCCCTGCACCTCACCTCTTTCAGCTCCTTCACAGCACCTGAGCAGTGGCAGTGCCTCAGCCCAGCCCTGGAAAGCTTTCCCAGACAGGAGCAGTGCTGTTTCAGCCTGGTTCACAGCACTGGCCAAAGAAGTGCAGGGAGTTCTGGCACAGCTCCCCCTCCAACAGCCTGGGGTGTTAAACACTGCCTCCATGTTCACACAGAGCCAGAGCCCCTTCCCCAGTCACCAGCCTCTACAACTTTTCCTTGTAAGAAATAATGGAGGACTTATTTGTAGCAGTACAGAGATCTTGAGGTCACATACCTGACCTGGGCCCACTCTAGCCAAAAAAACCCTGAAAAAACAACCTGGGAAAGGTTCAGAGGTGTCAGAATGGGGTGAGATCAGTGCTGCAAACCTGAGAGCCACAGAGAGTTATGGTTGCAGAAGTTTTGTCCCCCTATTCACCTCCCAGAGATCTTGAAGAGGTCTTGTCCCACTGTTCCTGCTCCCTGAGACCTTGCAGAGGTCCTGTTCCCCTGTTCACCTCCCAGGGACCTTGCAGAAGTCCTGTCCCACTGTTCACCTCCCAGAGACCTTGCAGAGGTCCTGACCCACTCTCCCTGCTCCCAGGGACCTTGCAGAGGTCCTGTCCCCCTGTTCAGCTCCCAGGGACCCTGTGTGGTTCCCGCTGTGACGCTGTCCCCTCTGTCCCTGCCCCGCAGCCCTCGAGGACACGGTGGAGGCCCTGGATGGCCGGCGCCCCGTCATCCGCCCCATCCCTCACGTGGCCATCCTGCGGGATGAGTTCACCCAGCTCTTCAGCGACGACTACGAGGAAGAGGAGGAGGAGCTGGAGGCACGGGGGGAGCACACGCTGTCAGAGAAATTCGGTGGGCATTGTGCAGCAGCCGTCGGTGTTGTGCCTTGCTTGGAGCTCTTCAGGAATGATGGTGCAGGCTGGGTTTAGTTGTTTGGTGAACACAGCAGGCCTGTTGAGTGCCTTTTCTGCGTTTAGCTCTGCTGCAGCCTCCACTTGGGGAGGCTCCAAACTGCCCAGGGTGCTGCAGCACCCTCAGGGAGGTTCTCATGCATGGTGCCTTGTGGTAATCACATATTTTGTGAACAGAGAGAGAGCTAGTTCTCTCCCAGGATTTTCCTGAGAAGCTGTGAGAAAGCTCAGAGAAAAGAATTAGAAACAATTGTTATCTTCATTTACTACACTTGTTGAGCCAGTGATGCGCAGAAAAGTGCACGTGTGAACTGTGTTATGGAGATTATTTACCAAAGGGTAGTTTCTTAATTGGACACTAGTGATGGTGTTTAGATTGATTGACCAATTAGGCCAAAGCTGTATCAGACTGTCTCTAAGGGCTATGGTGTATTGTTCACATGCGCTCTGAACAGAGACAAGCTGTGAGAGAAGCAGAGAAAAGAATGATCAAAACAGTTCTTATCTCATTTGCTGCTCCTGTGTTTGTGCCCGTGTGGAATGTGTTCTGGAGACTGTTTACCTGAGGTGATTGCTGGATTGGATTCTGGCGATGGCGTTTGGATTCATTGACCAGTTGGATCCACATGTGTGCACATTGGGACTTGGGCAGAGTCATGGGTTTGCTAGTTAGTGACAGTTTTTGTTGGTGTTATACAGTTATAGTATAATATAGTATAATAAAGTGATTAATTAGCCCTCTGATATAATAGAATTCTATGCATCATTCTTCCTGCCCATCAGGAATCATAGCACCGATATTACGGGCTTTTTAATAGTATAGTACAGTATAGCTTAATACAGCAATTAATCGGTGTTCTGCAATCATGGAGTCAATGCTAATTATTGCCTGTTCAGGGGACCATTACTGTGACAGTGCCTCTCGTTGCAGTCTGCCTGGAGCACACGTTTGGCCCCGAGTGCAGCCTGACCTGTGACGACTGCCAGAACGGAGCCACGTGCGGCGCCGAGGGCAGCGGCTGCCTCTGCCCCGCCGGCTGGGCTGGCCTGCTCTGCAACCAGAGTGAGTGCAGCTCTGTGCTCTGCTCTGCAGCCCTGCGAGGCTCTGCCTGAGCTGAGCCTCATCTCTCTCTCCCTCCCCAGCTTGCCCAGCCGGCACCTTCGGCATCAACTGCAGCCAGAGCTGCCGGTGCCAGAACGGTGGCACCTGTGACCCTGCCAGCGGCGCCTGCCGCTGCCCGCCCGGTGTGGCTGGAGAGCTCTGCCAGGATGGTGAGTCCAGCGTCCCCTCACCCTCTCTGTGGTGCTGGGGGCCATCCCTGCCCTCCTCCTGCTCCTCCTTCCTGGTGTCAGTGTCTTAGCAGGGATTTGTCACCGCTTGACGCGGTGCTGGATTTTCCCCAGCCAGCTCCCAGCACTGCGCCAGGAGTGGGCTGTTCCCAGAAAGCAGCACAGTCTGGGACACAGAGGACACAGTCTGGGACACAGAGGACGCAGAGGACAGCCTTGACCTCTCAGAGCCCTGTGGGTGGGTTATTTCTGTCCCAACCAGCAGAGTTGCTGGTGACAGTGAGGGCAGAGCTGATGGGTGCCCTGGAGCACCATGAAGTGACATCCCCTGTGACACTGCACAGCTGATTTGGAGCTGGTGCAGGGAATCTGATCTCTCTCCTCCTGTAGGGCTTAAACCCTATGGCAGAAGTTGTTAAATATCCAGAGCAGGAGCAAGGATATGGGAGAGGCCTTCAGAATGGTTTCAAAAGGATTTTTTCCATGGAAGGGTCAGGGACCAAAGACAAAGAACGACAACAGTGTATAAGGGTTTTTAAACAGGGGCAGTTTTAGGTGAGGGGATAAATCAGCAGCTAATTAGAGATATTCTGGGGAGGGGTAAAGGGCAGGGTTCACAAAAGCAACTTCCAATGAGGGATTTAGGGGAGGGGTTTGGGGCGATATTGAACTTTAGGGGATTTCTGAAAGGGAATTCCAAGCAGGGGGTTGGCACCAGGTAGGATTGACAGGGAACTCAGGGCAGATCAGCAGCATCTTCCAGCTCTCTTGTTGAGCCATCCCAGTGAGAGCAGCTCCAACACATTCCTGCTCCGTCTGAGTCCATCAGCTGCTGAGTCTTTTGTGGAAAAAATGTCATTTTAAACAGCAAAAGGAGTGGTAAATGGCATTCTTCCCCCACAAAACAGTGCTACAGGTGTTCTGTCTCTGCACTCTAAGACCTTTGCAGTCCCTGTTCACTGCTCATCTGTGACTGGGAGCAGGGATCTCTATTTCATGGGGCATTCAGTGGCAGACACAGGAAAGAATGTCAAACCCACAATTTCCATGGTTAATTTCCATGGAAACGGAGGAGGTATTTTCCACCCAAAGCATTGGAAAGCTGTGACAGCAATAGTTACCCAAAGTACCCAGAGTACCCAAAGGAGGTGTCACTGCTGGTGGTGCTCATTTCTTGCTCCCAAAGGGTTAAAATTTGGGGGACATAATTTGAAAACCAGAAAGAGGGAGACAATCAGAGATTCAGATAAAAGGACTTCAGTCACATGTTGGGAGCATATGGGAGCTATTACTGAAGGAGGAGAGTGAAGCAGAATGTAAATGAACACAAGAGATACCCCGACCTCTTCTTTCTTTAGGAAGGAGGTGGTTGAGAGGGACAGAGAGAAAACAGGAAGGTAAAATGAAAATAAACAATGCAGAATTGCTCTGTTGTCCCAAGGCGGCATTTCTTCTGCTCCTCTGTTCGTAGGGACAAGGCACGTGCTGCTGGGCAGCTGCTGGCCAGAGCACTCTGCTGACACAGCCTGTCTGCCATGTGCTTCCAATATCGAGATCTTTAGCATAACAGAGAAAAAACAATAATTTTATTCACTTAATAGTGCAAATATCCCTGTGGCTTTTCAACAGGAGCAGCCTCGTGGGTTGCTTTCTCACGGAGGAGAGCCTTGACCTCTCAGAGCCCTGTGGGTGGGTTATTTCTGTCCCAGCCAGCAGAGCTGCTGGTCAGTGAGGGCAGAGCTGATGGGTGCCCTGGAGCACCATGAAGTGACATCCCCTGTGACACTGCACAGCTGATTTGGAGCTGGTGCAGGGAATCTGATCTCTGTCCTCCTGGATGCATCCCTTCCCTCGGCGCATCCCTGCTCCGGTTCCGAGAACTGAACACAGCTCTGATTCCGGTGTGTTTCTCTCAATTAAAACAACCTGCTGAAACTCATCTTCCCAGGAAACCTCTCTCTGTTACTAGGGTGCCCCAAGGGATTTTTCGGGAAGCACTGCAGGAAGAAGTGCAACTGTGCCAACCGGGGTCACTGCCACCGGATTTACGGCGCCTGTCTCTGCGATCCCGGCTTGTACGGCCGGTTCTGCCACCTGGGTAAGCTCGGATTATCCCTGAATTCCAGCCCTTCTGGCAAGGAGCTTTCTGCCCCTCGCTGACCAGCTCTCCCCTCTCCCTGCAGCGTGCCCCAAGTGGGCGTTTGGGGCCGGCTGCTCGGAGGAGTGCCAGTGCCTGCAGCGCAACTCGCGGGACTGCGACGCCAGGGACGGCTCCTGCCGCTGCAAGCCCGGCTACCGCGGCCAGCGCTGCCAGGACAGTGAGTGAGGCACAGGGACACACCTCCAGCTGGCGTGGAAAACACCTCCGAGGCCATCAAACCCAACCTGTGACCCAACACCACCTTGGCAGCCACACCATGGCACTGAGTGCCGCATCCAGGCTTTTCTTAAACACCTCCAGGGATGGGGATGCCATCACCTCCCTGGGCAGCCCATTCCAATGCCCAGTCATCCTTTCTGGGAAGAATTTCTTCCTAAGGTCCAACCCAAACCTCCCCTGGTGCAGCTTAAGGCTGTGTCCTCTTGTTCCTGATCCCTCCTGGCAGGGAGTGATGAGGTCTCCCCTGAGCCTCCTCTTCTCCAGGCTCAATAACCCCAGCTGCCTCAGCTGCTCCTCACAGGATTTTTGTCCCAGACCACTCACCACCCTTCTTGTCCTTCTCTGGACACGCTCCAGGCCCTCTATGTCCTTCCTAAATTGGGGGGCCCAGAACTGGACACAGCACTCGAGGTGCTGCCCAACCAGTGCTGAGCACAGGGGGAGAATCACTGCCCTGCTCCTGCTGGCCACACCATTCCTGATCCAGGCCAGGAGCCACTGGCCTTCCTGGCCACCTGGGCACAGTGCTGCCTCATGTCCAGCCTGCTGTCCATCAGTCCCTGCAGGTCCCTTTCTGCCTGGCTGCTGTCCAGCCACTCTGTCCCCAGCCTGCAGTGCTCCAGGGGTTGTTGTGGCCAAAGTGCAGGACCCAGCACTTGGACTTGTTAAACCTCATATCCCATCTATCCAGCCTGTCCAGGTACCCCTGCAGAGCCCTCCCTCCCTTCAGCAGACCCACACTCATACTGGTGTCATTCTGTCCCCACAAAGCACCCCCAGATCATCCCCCTTTCTCCTCCCATGGCCTTTTCCCCCCATTAATTTTCTCAGGGGAAAGCTCTGCTTGTTTTCCACCCTTCCAGACTGTCTCACCTCTTGCTCACTCAGCAGCACACCATGCTCACACTCAGCCACGTTCAGTGGTCAGCAGGAGCTGTGTGGTGGGTGGGGACAGCTGTGACAGTGGGTGGTGGGACAGCTGTGACAGTGGGTGGTGGGACAGCTGTGACAGTGGGTGGTGGAGCTTGGAAGGATGCTCAGCACCCAGGGGCAAGGAGTAATTTCAGAGCTTCTTTCTCTCCAATTCTGGCTGTTCACAGGCTGTGACCCTGGGTATTACGGGGATGGCTGCAAGAAGAAGTGCAGCTGCTCTCCAGGAGTGCCCTGTGACCCTGTCACCGGGGAGTGCCACAAGGAGTGTCCCCCAGGCTACCACGGCGAGCACTGCGACCAAGGTAAGGCAGGGCCCTGCAGGGCAGCCCTGTGTGTGCTGGAAACTCACCAGTCCTCAGCATTTTGCTTCACAAAACGACACAAAAGCACTTCCAGAACCCCCTGAGAGCCCCAGCCCACTGCAGATGATCTGATGGGTGGCCAGCAGAGACTTCAGGGGACACAGGAGCTGCCATCCACAGGTCTCTGTGAGACACTGCTGCCTGTTGAAAGTGCGAGAGAGAATTCCTGGGATAAGATTCAGAAAAGGAGAACAAGGTCTCTCTTCATCCTGCCACTGGACATCTCTGTGTGGGTAGATGGAGATGATTGGGATCTAATTATCTTTCCCTGGCCTTGATGTCTTTTCCCTTCCAGACAATCCCTGCCCAGCACAACAGTATCACATTTTCTGCTCTGTTCTTTATTTTTCTTGAAACTCTGTTTCATCTGCAAGTGCAAAGGAGTATTTTACCTTTAATTTACATTAGAATTCAAACTTCTGCCTCTGTATGAACCTCCTAGAGCAGTTTTGTGCTCTTCCCAGTTGATGGGAAGGTGACTGAGCTGCCCAGCTCTGTGGATGTCTAACTGTGTCCAACACTCGGGCTCTGAGGGTGCAGATTTCAAGATCCTGGGGGTGGTTTGTGTGCCAGAGAGCTTCACTTTGGGCAGACAAAGGTGCTTTGAGAGAACCCAAAGGCAGTGAGTCATTGGCCCGAGGTGATGATTACAAAATATGAACACAGTGTTTGGAAAAGAATAAGTTCTGCCAACCACAGAGCTGAGTGGCAACTGAAAAATCAACCCACTGCTGCCCTTGTCAGGCTGGGGCCTCCTGAACCCCCTTCAGCTGGTTAGGACCTGCAGAAAATGCAAAAAGTTGGACACTTGGAGACAGACTGCAGCAGCAGCAGACGCTCCATGGAGAGGTTGGAAGTGGCCAGCATCTGGATTTGGACTGGAGCATCCCAGGGGCTTCTGCACTAACTGATGTTTAGCCAAGCACTGCTTCACCCCAGCCCAGAAGCTGCAACCATCAGCCTCACTGATCTGCCAGCAAAGGGTCGTGGTGCAGAGCCCCATCTCTGACAGAGCAAGAGCTGCAGAAAGCAGCAAAAATCTCAGTGCAATTGCTGACCACAGTGCTGGAAGGAGAGATGGGAGCAGCTCCTGCAGGGCCGTGCTCCCTGGCAGGGTCTGACAGCCCTGAGCCCCCCGTGGGGGGATGCTGTGGCCCCTGGAGCCCCTGGACCTTGTCAGGCTGGGTGCTCCCGCTCAGGATATTTTTTAAAAGGGTAAGAAAGGAGCTGAAGGCTGTAGGGGGGAGTCACAGGAAATAACACAAATATTTGTATAGAAATAGTAGGCTCTTGGCTGTTGTTCGGATCTGGAAATTATTAAAGGGTGAAGACAAACATCTGCCATCAATTAGCAAAGAGGAGGAATAACAAAAACTCCACTGTGTCACTGGAAATGGAGGCGCTGCGTTTCCTCCGCGGTTTGTCGGCGCTGGTGTGTTCCCCTCTGCTGAAGCTTTTCAGAACTTTGGCTTTGGTGAGCGTGGAGCTCTCATGGGGGACTCAGAGAGGATTTAAGGATCTTTGCTCTGGAGCCCTCAGTTTGCATGTCACCAGCTCATTGCTAAATTGTGGCACGGGGTGCAAAGATCAAAGCGAGCTGGGACCAGCAGAACCACGCTGGCATCAGAGCAGAGGGAAGGAAAAGCACTTATTCCTCCTCTGGATGAGGATGTTCCTTCTTTCCTTCTTTCCATCTGTGTCCTGCTGCAAACCTTGCTGCTTCTTAAAATCCTGGTGCTCAGATCCTGGAGGCATTCAGCCAGGGAGGTAAAAACCCCCAGAGCACCTTGGAAAAGCCAAGGGTGGTTTGGTGTGGGGCTGTGACCCTGGTGCTCTGCACCCCAGCCCAGAGACAGCAGCGTGGCTTCGGCAGGGTCCTTGTCCAAGGACTGGAGATCAGTTTGGCTTCAGTTTTTGTGGGTGTGAGTGGTCACTCTTGCATGAAGAAATACTTGTTGAAAGGACAGACATCAGGCAGACAGACCAGGTGGTGGTGGCAGTGCTGGAGGTGACCAGAGTGGCTCACAGAGGGGTCACACCCAGGCTCAAAGAATCACTAATGTTGGAAAAGACCTCCAAGATCACCAAGTCCAACCTTTGAGCAAACACCACCATGCCCACTAAACCATGAGCACAGGTGGGAACCTCTCACAGACACAGAGGCTCCTTCAGCCTGCAGGGCCAGGTTGGTAAAATGCTCTTGGGTATCTTGGGGGGGGTGTTCTGACCCTGCTGTTCTCCCACAGAGTGCCCTGAGGGGACATTTGGGCCGGGCTGTCAGCATCCCTGTGCCTGTGGAGAAGCGTCCTGTGACAGGAGCACAGGGCAGTGCCACTGCCCACCTGGCTGGACAGGACACGACTGTGCCCAAGGTGAGCACGGGCAGCAGAGCAAACACTCAGGGACTTCAGTGTGGAGGGAGGGATTTAGGTGTAGACTTGTTGCTTTTCTTTTACTGAAACTCATTTTAAAAACACCCAATGCAGTTAGAATCATCTTTGTGGAAAATTAGAGAAAATTTCAGCTTTTGATGGTGAGTCTTGAACAACATGATGAAAAAGATGAAGATGTTTTTTGTTGTTGCAGTCCTCAGTGTAGGAGAGGAACCTTTCTTTATTGATGCATGTTTTTCATTGCCTTCACCAGATTACTCTTTAACTGCTGGAGGACTAGAGAGTCTGAAATGGAAAGCTTTTGCATGATTCTGCAGTATTGCAGCAGCTGGAAGGAATTAGTCACATAGAGATGTCCTGCTCCTAAGAGTTTGGCTGAGCAATGAAACTACGTGTGCACAGTGCTTACCATACTTTTCAAGCTGCCTTGTTTCCAGGCCCTGGAGCAGCTTAGGACCAGTTGGAGAAGGATTCCTGTCCTGGTTTTAGCAGTTTAGCCTTTTGCTCCTTCTTTGCAGCTCCCAGTGGGTCCCAGAGCAGTGACTGATGTGCTGTCCACGGTGTGACGGCAGCTGTGGAGCCCCTGTGCCAGCAGCACCATTTCCCACTGAGGAGCCCTTGGAGCTCCCTGCAAGTGGCTGCAAATCCAAAATTGGCATGAAAGTCCTGGAGTGAGCTCAGAATAGCACTTAGAGACAGGCAGGGCCGTGCTGTGCTCGCTGGCAGCCACGTGCTGTGAACAAAATCCACGTCTCGCATGAGCACAGCTCTGACGGCCAGAGGGAGCCCAAAAGGTCTCACATTTCCCTCTGCCACCTCAGCTCTGACCCTGGTGCTCTGTGTTCTCTGTCTGCTCACGCTCCAGCCTGCCCTGAGGGTCTCTGGGGGCCGGGCTGCCAGGAGATCTGCCCTGACTGTGCCAACAACGCCAGCTGTGACCGCGCCACCGGAGCCTGTCTGTGCCCACCTGGCTACACCGGGCAGCGCTGCCAGGATGGTGAGTGCAGCCTGGGCTGGGTCCCTCACCTCCAGCTGCAATGGGGGCATCTCAGCTGAGCTGGAGCATCCAGTGACCGACCAGGCACTGCCACGCTCAGCACATCTCTGTTCCTCACTCACTGGGGTGCAGCCTGGGGACTTCACAGCCCCTCTAGCCCCATCTCCCTTGCAGTGACTCCTGCAGCAGGAGAAAAGAAGGCAGAATGCTGAGCCCCTTGTCCCCTTCAGCACCTGCACTCGGGGTGTCAGGGCTGTGTCAGTGCTCTGCCGGCTCCACCCGGGGCTGGGATTCCAGCAGCCACCTGCAGTCCCTCCTGTTTCCCTTGGCAGTGTGTCCACCCGGCTGGTTCGGCCCCGCCTGCCAGCTGAGCTGCAGCTGTGGCAACGAGGGACATTGCCACCCGGTGACGGGGACGTGCAGCTGCCCGCCCGGCTGGACGGGGCACCACTGCCAGCGAGGTACAGCCCCTGTGCTCTGCCACCCTCACTGCTGGGCCACTCTGGCCGTGCCAAGCTGTGCTGCCACCTCCCCATTCTCATCTTCGTGCTGTGCCTCTGCCAGGGAAATCTCTCTGAGATCCTTTTGGTTTCTTTGCTGTCTGTCTGGTGCTGGCAGTGCCGCTGGCCTCTCTGCAGCTGTGTTTGTCATTGTGCCCAAGGGATGTTGTGCCTGCTGGTGAAGGCAGCACTATGCCCATGCCATGCTCTCTGGTACTCACCAGTGATGGCTCCTGCTGTGTTTTTCCAGCCTGTGACCTGGGGCGTTGGGGCCCTGACTGTGCCCACGCCTGCAACTGCAGCAACGGCGACGGCAGCTGCAGCGCCGAGAGCGGGCAGTGCCTGTGCGAGGCCGGCTACACGGGCACCCACTGTGAGCAGAGTGAGTGCTGCCCTGCCCTGCCTGCCCTCTCACACCCACCACGGCCTGCAGGGCTCCAGGGAAGGGCATTGCCCCAGCCCATCCCCTGCCCTGGCTGTGATGCTGATCCTGTGCCCAGGGTGATGTGGGTACGCACCTGTGAGGGGTGGGTGGGAACCTGCTGGTTGTGGGTTCAGCTGTCAGATATTTTTATTCCATTCAGAATGCAAGCTCCTGCCTTAGATAGCTTCTCTGGGACCCAGGAAGGGACAGACTCCTCAGTCTCATTTTTTTCAGAGTGCCCAGAAGGGTGGTTTGGGCAGAGCTGTCGGCACCAGTGCCAGTGTGACAATGGAGCCACCTGTGACCACGTCAGTGGGGCCTGTACCTGCAGCCCAGGCTGGCGAGGAACCTTCTGTGAGCACCGTGAGTACCTGACCCTGGGCACCAGGCCTCCATCCCAGAGGGTTTGTGCTCCCTGTCTGACTTTGTTATCCCATTACAGCGAAGAGAATTCCTCAGGATGGCCATGGGGGGAGCAACAAGTCTGCAAGCTGCTGCCTCTGGTTTTATTTCTGGAGGGAAAAGGTCTAGGGGGAAAAAAAAAAAGGCTGTGAAAATGTAAATAATAGGTGACCCAGTGGTTGCACGGCTGCTGTGGTCACCTGAGTGCGTACATGTTGCACTCAGGGTCTTGGAGCAGCCTCTTGGAGGATCCTTGGATGCAGGGATCCAGCTCCCCCAGCAGCCTCTCCGTGGTCAGGAACCTCAAGCCATCACTCCTGATCCACCACTGCCCTCTCCTGTACCTGGAATGTCCACAGTGAACTTACATCCAACATCTGTTGCCCTCAGCAGCCCTGTCACACTGGTGCAGCCTCGCACTGGCCAAGGGACAGGCACCTTTTCCCACTGGGAGGGCTCCAGCTCTGCATTTTGTGTGGATTTCTCCTTTGTTTTTCCACAGCCTGCCCTGATGGATTTTATGGACTGGAGTGTCGACAAGCCTGTGACTGCCTGAATGGTGCCCACTGTGACCCTGTGACAGGACAGTGCCAGTGTCCCCCGGGCTGGACTGGTGCCCGCTGTGCCCAGGGTAGGTGTCTGTGCCCAGGGCAGGTGTCTGTGGGAGGTGCCCACCCTGCCCTCCATGGCACTCTGGAGGCAGAGCTTTCTCTGCCGCCAGGTCAGGGGAACCAGAGTTCTGGGTTGTCCATTCCCTATTTGTGATTTTCTCTGTGTGCAGTTTAATTTGGGTTCAGACTGGGGGGCTCTGCCTGGGCATTTGTGGTTGGATGCAATGAGGGTTTGGGCAACCAGAAAAAGTGCTTCCAAACAGATGAGGGATGCCAGGCCTGTAGGGCACATTATTTCCCTGTAACCCCACAAAACCCCCTCCCACAGCAGCCAGCCACCCCTGACACATCCTCTCCCAGCCCTTGGCAGGGTTGGCAGGAGCCTGGCTGCTGTGATTCCCACCCAGTGCCCACCACTCCTGCCTGCTGTGCTCCCCTGCAGCGTGCCCGGAGAACAGGTACGGCCAGAACTGCAGCCACACCTGCCACTGCTTCAACAATGCCACCTGCAGCCACATCAGCGGCCTCTGCCTCTGCTCCGAGGGGTGGACGGGACCCTCGTGCCAGCAAGGTAACCCTTCCCACACCCCTGCTTCCCCTGCCAGCCCGGGGAAGGATGCCACTCCTTGGGGTGGGCAAGGAATGGTGCCCACCTGTGTCGCTGTGTTCGCGGTCCCAGGATGAGAGAAGACATGAATCTGACTCCATATTTCTAGAAGACTGATTTATTATATTATTATATTATATTATATTTAAAATTCTATACTAAAGCTACACTAAAAAGAATAGAGAAAGGATTTCATCAGAAGGCTGGGAAAGAAAAGGAATCAATAAAAACTCATGACAGAGAGTCCGACACAGCTGGCTGTGCTTGGTCATTAAGTATAATCAATCCACATGAGACCAATCAAAGATACACCTGTTGGTAAACCAGACCACATTCCACAGCCATCAGATAGTTATTGTTTACATTTCTTTCCTGAGGCTTCTCAGGAGAAAAATCCTGGTGAAGGATTTTTCAGAAAATATGACAGTGACACACCTGAGCAGCTGACATACCTAAAGTTGTCATTGCCTCAAAATCAGTGTTGCTATCACACCATCCACCCACGGCTCTGGCAGCGTGGCACAAGCCTCCAGAGCTGTGTCCTGATGGGGATGTCTGTCCTGTTTGTCCCTCAGCCTGCCCGGAGGGGTTTTATGGGAAGAACTGCCAGCAGCGCTGCCTCTGCCACAACGGCGGCACCTGCGACCCGGCCACGGGGACCTGCGCGTGTCCTGCGGGCTGGACAGGGCTGGCCTGCGAGCTGGGTGAGGAAACAGCTGGGAAACGGCTCTGGGGCAGACAGGGCCTGGTTTGGAATGGTTTTCTGATGGTTTTCAGCTTGCTTTTTCTACCTCTGTCGGGTCAGGATTCACTTGAGACAATAGTTCATGTTCAGGCTTAGATGTTTATTGTTTCTTATCAGTGTTACAGCCTCACAGCAGTGAGTTCTGGTAACAGTGAGTTTTTTCATGAACAAGGCACAAAATGGCCAACTATCTCTTGTTAAAAGGTCTTTTAAGGCTAAAGTATCTAATTAAGAAATGACACCTAAATTATTTTCGCTTTTAACCCAATAACTGATCACTCAGAGTCCGCAATGTGGACTTTTCTGTCCAATTGCAAAATACCACCCAAACCTGTGGAGAAGAAGGAAGAAGGAGGTAAAGGAGGAGGAACAACTTCTGCCCTAAAACCTCCATCTTCCTTTATATATATTCCCATATTCTAAAACCTCAAACTCTAAGTTTTCCACCATGTGATATTATACACTTCTTATCAACTCCACACCCGTAATCCCAATTCTGTCAACCAATTTTGGAAGCTTCTCCATGGCCTCAGGTCAAATGCAGTGTATTCTAGGGGGTCAGAGTCTGTCAGCACAAAAACTTCTCAGCACCCAGAACTCCACCAGTTTTCCTGTGGAGGTTGGAGGTGACGTGCGAGGGGTTGGGGCGCTGGGTCCTTCCTGTGTGTGCAGCAAGGGCGGGAGCTGGGAGGGTGGGCACCCGGGCAGTGTCTCACCCTGTGCCCCTGCCAGCCTGTGCCCAGGGGCAGCACGGCCTGGAGTGCCAGCAGCGCTGTGAGTGCCAGCACGGGGGGCTCTGTGACCGCCGCACCGGGCACTGCCTCTGCCAGCCTGGCTGGACCGGCGACAAGTGTGACACAGGTAAGTGGGGTGTCTGGGGCTGAGCTGGGCATCGTGGCTCTGCCAGCACCTGGAGGGTCTAGGGGCTGAAGCAAAGACAGAAAATTCAGATCTCAGCAAGCTCTGTGACCGCCACACCGGGCACTGCCTCTGCCAGCCCGGCTGGACTGGTGATAAGTGTGAGACAGATAAGTGGGGCATCTGGGGGCTGAGCTGGGCATCGTGGCTCTGCCAGCACCTGGAGGGTCTAGGGGCTGAAGCAAAGACAGAAAATTCAGATTTCAGCAAGCAGGGAGCTGGCAGTGCCATGGTTTTGGCTGTGTCCCTGTTTTGCTGTGCCCTTTCTCCTTCCATTGAATCACGAAGGGGTTCTGGTGGGAAGGGACCTTAAAGTTCATCCAGTTCCAGCCCACCTGGTTTCTGCTGTCTGAGGGCTGTGCTGAAAGTGCTGGTGCACACCCAGAGCAGCCTGTGGTGGTGGGAGGGGGATGGCATTCCCAAAGGCACAGACCCCCAGGCAGCAGTGCAACTACAGGGAAAAAGCCCCCAAAGTAACTTTTTTGTGCAACTTGTCCTCTCTGTTTTCATCCCTGAAGCTTGTCCAGAGGGGCTGTTTGGGGCACGCTGTGAGGAGCTCTGTGACTGTGGGGACAACGTCTCGTGCCACCACGTCACCGGTGCTTGTGACTGCCCCCCTGGCTGGAGGGGCCGGCGCTGTGAGAAGGGTGAGGAGCCCCCTGGGTGAGGGAAACCCAAGGAAACATCAGCTGCTCCAAAGCCTGGGAAGAGGGAAACTTCATTTTTCATGGGAGTTACACGTTGTGGCAAAGTATTTTGAGGCTGTGACACAAGATGCTGCTGGGCTGGTGTGGCACTGGGGCAGGAGCCCCTCAGAGGAGGCTCTGGTGGTTTCCAGGCATTAGCAACAACTTAAATCCAGGCAGAATGCCCATTTTCAACTTCCTTTTTGCTCTGTTGAGGTCAGGATTGAAGGCACTTGAGACAATGGTTCACGTTCAGGCTCAGGTGTTTATTGTTTCTTATCTGTGTTACAGCCTCACAGCAGTGAGTTCTGCAGTTCTTCATTAACAAGGCACAAATGGCCAACTATCTTTCATTACAAGGTCTTTTAAAGCTAAACTACCCAATTAAGAAATGACACCTAAATTATTTTCACTTTTAACCCAATAACTGATCACTCAGAGTCTGCAATGTGGACTTTTCTGTCCAGTTACAAAATACCACCCAAACCCATGAAGAAGAAGGAAGAAGGTGAAGAAGAAGGACCAGCTCTCACCCTAAAACCTCCATCTTGCTCTATATTTATTCCTATATTCTAAAACCCCAAACTCTGAGTTTCCCACCATGTGATATTACACCATTCTAACCAACTCCACACCCATAATCTCAGTGCTATCAATCAATTTTGGAAACCTTCTCCACAGCCTCAGGTCAATGCAGTGTTCTCAGGACACTGAGGGGGTCAGGACAGAAAGTCTAAAACTCTCCGGAGCTCCGACAGCAGCAGACTCACATCCCACTGTTTGTTTTCCCACAGCCTGCCTGCCAGGTTTCTTTGGGAAGAACTGTGCCAGTCGCTGTGGCTGTCCCCTGGGAGTGCCCTGTCACCATGTCACCGGCCAGTGTGGCTGCCCGCCAGGACTGACCGGCGCTGGATGTGAAAAATGTACTGAGATGGGAATGGTCCTCCTGCAGCTCTGCTGGCAGGCTCTGGGAACGGGATGGGCCGAGCAATTCCTACAGAAAATAGAAGGGGGGGAAAAAAAGATAAACAAGGAGAAACAGCCCAAGAGCAAAGCTGTGCCAAGGAGCAACTCCCAGGCTGGCAGCTGGGTGCATGCCTGTGGAATGTTAGCAGGGCAGAGGGAGCCAAGTGGGAAATCAGAGCTGGGTATTTATGCAGAGGATTAGCAATAAATCACTATTAAAATGAGCTCCTGTGGGTATGAGCAAGTCTGAAAGAGACAGAGGTGTGTGGGCATGTTCCTTACGCAGAGGACAGTGCTGGGTTTGCCTTGTCTGTGTGTGGAGCCTGCAGAAATGTGAGGGCAGGAAGGGCTGGCACAGCAAAAGGCACCTAATGCCTTTAAGTACTTGCCTTTCCTTTCAATCCAAGTATTTCCTGGAGTGAATGAACCTTTTGCATGAGAGTCTCTTTGCTTTTTGGGTGGCGGAGAATTTTACTGCCATAAAAGGCTCTCCAAATCTGGGCTTAAAATAAAATGTTTTAAAAAAAGCCTCGCAGAGAGGGGTGGGATGGCTCCTGAGCCACCTTGGTGCCTTGTCCCCTCACAGCCTGCCTGCCAGGGACCTTTGGGGAGGGCTGTGCTCAGATCTGCCAGTGCGCCGGAGCCACCCAGGAATGTCACCCTGTCACCGGGGCCTGTGTCTGTCCCCCTGGCTTCCACGGTCCTGCCTGCCAGCTGGGTGAGTCCTGCTCTGCTCCCATCCCCTTTGCAGGCTGTGCCATCCCGAAATCCCGGTGCCATGAGGGACAGACAGCTCCCAGCAGAGCTCTCTGCCTGCTCCTGGGGTGAACACCCGTGCAAACCCACCTGCTGGATTTCCCCGGGCTGTCTGCACCTTCTCCTTGTATTTGTAGCCGCTGTTTGTTGTCCCCTCAGAGTGCTCCCCAGGCTGGTACGGCCGGGACTGTGTGAGGCCCTGCCAGTGCAGGAACGGGGGCAGCTGTGACACTGCCACGGGGATGTGCCACTGCCCGGCCGGCTTCATCGGCGCCGACTGCGCCATCGGTGAGCTCTGCTCCAGCCACGGGGGCTGGGAAAGTAGGGGAGCCTCCTCAGGGGGGTCTGAGGGGTGGGAGAGGCAGACCCTGCCCGCAGAAAAACCCTGTGGGGGATGAGCAGCAGAACAAGGACTGACCCCTGGGAAAAGCTCCTTTGTCCATCTGTCCTGGCAGCAGTGCCCTCCTGCTGTGTCCCGGGGAAGGAGCCTGCAGATGAACGTGTTTGCTGTCTGCCTTAGCCATGGAAATGTTTTCTGCTGTGTTTATTTTATGATATGATACATATATTTTATGGTATTTTATGATTTCTCCTGACACACCGTGCCCTCGCTGTACTGTTATACAGCCACAGCTGGGCAGGGCTTGGAGCAGCCTGGCTTAGTGGGAGATGTCCCTGCCCATGGCAGGGGGGTTGGAAACTGCTGATCTTTAAGCTCTCTTCCAACCCAAACCATTCCACGACCCTATGGCACAGCAGGGCAGGGCTGGAGGCTCCTTCTCATCCCATTGCTCAGCTCCAGTGCTGTGCAAAACTTCACCTCTCCCACCTCCCCCCTCCCCAGCCCTGCTTCGGCCTGACTGAGGTTTCCCTCCCTCCAGGATGTCCTGCTGGCCGCTACGGCCAGGACTGTGCAGGGCTGTGCCCCTGTGGGGCCGGTGTTCCCTGTCACCCTGTCACTGGAGACTGCGTGTGCCCTCCGGGCAGAGCTGGCCCCACGTGCGAGCAAGGCAAGTGCATCAGGACTGTCAGGCACTGCTTGGGAATGGAAATTATTTCCTTGCCCTGAGATCTCTGCTCGTGGTCCCTGTGCCCACCACCGCTGTCTCTGGCCCTGCAGGTTGTGAGAAGCACCGCTACGGGCTGGGCTGCCAGCAGCCCTGCTCCTGCCACAACGGGGGGCTCTGCGACCCCGCCGATGGCTCCTGCTCCTGTGCCCCAGGCTGGACGGGCAAATCCTGCGAATTAGGTAACCCTGGATCCCCAACCTGCTGACTGTGCAGCTCACACACTGGGTCTGGTTTCTGCCATCCCACCCGTGCCAGCCCTGCCTTGGCACAGCCCTCTGTGGGGCTGCTGAGCAGCTCTGCCTCTCCCTCTGCCCGCAGAATGCCCTCCGGGGAGCTTCGGTGCCGCCTGCCAGCTGCGCTGCTCCTGCCTGCACAATGCCACCTGCCACCCGGCCACCGGCGCCTGCCGCTGCCCCGCGGGCCACTACGGGCCCCTGTGCGAGCACAGTGAGTGGTGGCAGCGGGGACACCCTGGGCTTGGGGCGTGGGGGGTGTCTAAACTCATCTGGAGAGGAGGGATGCACGATATGGGTGTGACTGTTGCTATAGGACACAAAATAAAACGACGCAGACACGCAGCTCTCCAAGGCAAAAAAAAGAGCTTTTAATTTCTGACTCCAACATTTATAGATTTCCAAAAAGAGCTTTTAATTTCTGACTCCAACATTTATAGATTTCCAAAAAGATCTTTTAATTTCTGACTCCAACATTTATAGATTTCCAAAAAGAGCTTTTAATTTCTGACTCCAACATTTATAGATTGCCAAAAGTGACAGTGGATTGGAGGGCGACAGTGCCACCTCTCCAATGACACTGGACAAGCCAACAGTCTGGCAAATTTCTCCTCCTCCATAAAAGAATGCAAAACAATAAGTTATTTACATAAAGTGCGTGAGAAGGTTCGTTACAAGAATGCAAACATCAGAAGGCTTAGAAAATCTTAAAAAAACAGGGCGACATGTGACAGCAGTGTCACACCTTGCGGGGCTCTCCCTTTTCCAAGAGTTCGCAGTGAGCCCTTTCAAGGCAGAGGGTGATTTCTGATCCCTGTGTGACCCTGTGGGCACAGGGATGCCTTCCCAAGGCACACATGTCCCAGTGCCCGGCGGTGTTGGGCACTGAGCAAATCCCGTGGCGATGAACGCGAGGCTTGGAGCACTGGGGCACAAGTCGGGCACAATCTGAGCTCTCTGCTCCTCCCTGCTGGGCTGGCCGAGGCTCTGCTGCAGAGCTCAGCTCACCCACTCTCTAACGGCTTCTCCCGTGCCAGGCTGTCCCCCGGGGTTCCATGGAGAGGGCTGTCGGGAGCGCTGTGACTGCGAGCACGGGGCGGGCTGTGACCCCGCCACCGGGCGCTGCCGCTGTCCCCCAGGGCTGTGGGGCGAGCGCTGTCACACAGGTACCCCCATCCTCCTCCCCTTCTCCCTTCCCTGGGGATCCTGAGGGCTGGGCACACAGGCCAGGGGCTGTATTCTGTGTCTCACACAGGCTGCAAGGAAGGAACATACGGCGAGGGGTGCCAGCATCTCTGTGACTGCCCCAGTGATGTCCCCTGTGACCCGGTCACGGGGCGCTGCCTGTGCCCCCCAGGAAAAACCGGCCCCATGTGTGCTGCAGGTGAGCTGAGCCCCGGCTGGGCAGGGGAGGAAGGGGGCTGTGTGACGGGGGATTGCTCCCAGGAGGCTGGAAGGGGATTTTTTCTGGTGTGTCACCTCTCAGAGCAAGAGGGGCAGTGGCATATTGTATTTGCGGGGCTCCCAGATGAAGGGACAAATGATGAATCTGACTCCACGTTCTTAGAAGGATAATTTATTATTTCTTGATATTATGTTATATTATATATTATATTATGTTATGTTATGTTATGTTATGTTATGTTATATTATACTGTACTAAAGAATACAGAATGGATCTTTACAGAAGGCTAAAAAGATAATAATGAAAGCTTGTGACTCCTTCCAGAGCCCCAACACAACTTGATCCTGGTTGGCCAATAAGTCAAAACAATTCACATGAAACCAATGAAACAATCACCTGTTGGATAAACAATGTCCAAACCACATTGCAAAGCAGCAAAACACAGGAGAAGCAAATGAGATAATATTGTTTTCCTTTTTCTCTGAGGCTTCTCAGCTTCCCAGGAGAAGAATCCTGGGCAAGGGATTTTTCCAGAAAATATGACGGTGGCAGTGGCACTCGTCTCTCTGGCCCCTGTTCGCAGTCAGATCTGAATGCAAATTCTCCCTCAGCCTCTAGAGCCCATGTGTTCAGACTGACACAGTCAAAAGGCTGAGGGTTGAAGGCTGAGGGGTCATCCTGGTGGCCTGGGGATACTCCAGTGTCCTGTGTCACCACAGCAAAAACCTCTCTGCCCTCTCCTGCACCCGGCCCTCCCTGCAGCATCCTGGGAGAGCTCGGAGCCTTCCTGCTCGCTGCTGCCACGGCAGCATCCTGAGCAGCTCTGTGCCCTCCACAGACTGCCGTCCCACGCGGTTCGGCCCCGAGTGCCGCCTGGCATGCCAGTGTGCCCCCAGCAGCTCCTACTGCAACGCCCGGAACGGGCAGTGCCTGTGCCTGAACGGCCACACGGGACCCACCTGCCGGGAAGGTGAGGGCACGGAGGGGACAACGCGGCAGAACACGAGGGGAGGCTGTGCCTGTGCTCAGGGTGTGGGGCCTGTGCCACGGAGTGGGTTTGGGAACAGTAAATCAGCTCAGTCCAGTCACTTAGGGGAGCACCTGCCTCTTCCCAAGCCCCTCAGCTGGTCTTACCTGTTTGCTGTCACTGCAGCCACCAGGGAGGTTTGTGAAGTCTCAGAATTGAAGGTGTTTAGCAGCCTGGCCCTAAATATGCCCCTGGAACAGCCAGGGCACAAATCCCACTCTCTAATGAGCATGCTGGAACGTTGATCCCGTGCACCAGCCACAGTGAAACCCCCACACTCCTCATCTCTGCCCAAACCTGTGGGCTCAGAGTGACCCCCGTGGGTGCTGGGTGGGGGGCAGGAGGGTCTGACCCAAACCCAAGCACTGGGAACAGTGCTCCCAGCTCCCAGTGGGGAGAGGAATGGGGAGGAGTCTTGTATTTGCGGGGTTCCCAGACGAAGGAAGGAATGATGCATCAGACTCCATGTTCTTAGAAGACTAATTTATTATTTTATTATCTATATTATATTAAAGAATACTAAACTAAACTATACTATAGAATACAGAAAGGATACAGACAGAAGGCTAAAAGATACTAATGAAAAACTCGTGACTCTTTCCAGAGTCCCGACACAGCTTGACCCTGATTGGCCAATAAGTCAAAACAATTCACATGAAACCAATTAATAAAACCACTTGTTGGATAAACAATCTCCAACCACATTCCAAAGCAGCAAAACACAGGAGAAGCAAATGAGATAATATTGTTTTCCTTTTTCTCTGAGGCTTCTCAGCTTCCCAGGAGAAGAATCCTGGCTAAGGGATTTTTCCAGAGAATGTGACTGCCACAGGGGAGGAATGGGGAGGGAATGTGCCCCCAGGCAGGGCAGTGGTGTGGATGGTCAGCCCTGCAGCAGGGCTGCCCACAGCAAGGACTGACCTGTCCTGGACCTGTCTTCTTTTCCAGCCATGCAGTCCCTGCCACCCACCAGGCCACCACCACCCCCAGAGGGGCTCCAGCCAGCGGAGAAGTAGATCCTGCTGTGGGAGCACTCCCTTGGTGTCACCAAGCAGCCACCTGAAGAAGCCAATGACCTGTAATGAACTCATTTTGGAGCCACATGAGCAGCTCTCGTCTCCTGACAGCCCCAGCTGCTGCTTTTGGGGTGTGTGAGTGAGGCTGAAGCGCCCAGTTTAACCAGTTCACTGTGCCAGCACAGGCTGGCCACGAGGACACGTGTGCCCACACCCGAGACCTGCGTGCCTTTGGCCAGAGACCACATGAGCACTTCAGGAGGGATCAGTTCTGGTCAGGGGACAGTGGACTTTGACAGCTTGTGACACATTGCTGGCCTTCAACTTTTGGGTGCTGGGCTTGGGGAGAGGGCTGAAATCGTGGTCCAAATCAGGTATTTATGCATCAATATTTATGGGAAGCTGCACCACAGTGTTGTCAGGACTGATGGTGGCTCTCCAGAGACTGGGCCTCCTGTGGATGCACCACCTCACTTGAATTATTTTTTTTTAAATTTGAATTTTCCAAGGTGTTTTACTGTAAGTGACCATTTGCCAGGGGAAAACACGCAGGGCTCCAGCGCTCACCTGCAGAGCTGGTGCCTCCTGACAGAACAGGCTGTGCTGGACAAGCTTGTCAGGGGCCTGGAGCCTGTTCTTCATGCCAGGACTTTGTGAGTCCACGGACAGGAATTTGTCAGCCTGTGGTGCTGCCCATGTCACTTACTTCAAGAAGAAGGAAGCATAATTCGAGTGTGGAAGTCAGAGATTCTGCGTGGATGGAGACAAAGAGCTGGCTCATCTGGTCAAGGCAAATCCCCATTGGAGTGGCCTCTCCCAGCCCTGAATCCTGAGTTATTTTGCCATGCCAGTCGTTGCCAGGAGCTGGCCACCTGCAGCAGCGGGGAATGTCACCACTCCAGTGTCACCACATCACCCTGGTCAGGGCCCAGGTCCCCCTTTGTCTGTTTGCACAAAGCTCCTGGGCAGGTGAAGCCACTGCCAGAGGAACACCAGCTCTGCAGAGAAGAGGGACAGCCCTGTCCCAATCCCACCCCCCTGGGAGCAGCACAGGAGGAGGAGGAGGAGGCCAGTGGAGATGCTGTGCCTTGATGGCCCTGCTCCAGGAGAGCATGGGAACAGCCTTAAACTTGGGGATGGATCCATCCTGTCCCATTCCAGCTGCTGCTCCATGAGTCCTGGCAGCTGCTCAGAGCAAGCCCTGTATTTTTATATAATGTTCTTTTTCTGTTCATATTTCTTAATACAGTTTGTTTGCTTCCTCTTTTCATGTACTGTCTCCCTTTTTGGATCTTCTTTAATTAAGCACTGATGAAAAATGTTACTTTCTGCACAGTTAAAAGAAATAAAAGAAAGCCTGGCTGAGTTTCTACTTATCTTGTCTGTCTCACTCAAATGCACCTGACAGCTGCTCCAGGTGACAGCAGGCTGGCAGGGGCTCTGGAGGGTGTTTCATGAGGTGTGGATATCGTGTCAGAACATGCAATGCCACCAGCAGAACGAAGCTTCGTTTTAGGGCTCATGGTTGGCACAACCTGGCTCCTTGGAGCTGCCATGCTCAGGGACACTCACCACTAACAGAGAACACGTGGTCCATGGGTATCCAAGGATTTATTGTTACCTTAATTTACAGTTGAACAGTTCGATCAGAACAGACCTTACATCAACAGTGCCCCTGTGAATGTGAAGTTGGCAGTGTATGGGGCTGGCTCACCCCAAAATTGTACCTGCCATGTGCCCTGCATGGGGTGTGAGGGGCTGAGCACCCCAGCAGAGCCCCCTCCCCAGGTGGGAGGAGGGAAAGGGAGGTGGGAGCTGCAGCACTGCTCCTCATCCTGCCCCTGCTTCCCCCTGTGCCTGGAGCATATTCCATTCTTGGCTCCAGAGCTGACTCCATGGGAACAACTCTGGCATCAAGTATTTTATCAAGTGACCAAAATGTGTCTGGCATCACCTCAGCTGTGCAGGGCATGGCTCTGCCTGAAGGGCCCAAGAATTATTGTTGGGGGAGAGACAGAAAAAAGAGAAACAGGAGCAAAAACTGGGAATAAGCCAAGCTCATGGATTTAAGGTCCAAACAGCCTGACTGGGGTGTGCTCTCCCACACCAGGTGTGCAGCAGGTGCTGGCCCAGCTGCCAGCAGGGACGGAGATGGTGACATGGGCACCTCAGAGCCCAGCACAGCTCCAGCTTTCCAACCTGAGCCAAGCCCTTGGCTGCTCCCAGAGCCTGTTCTGGGTCACCAGTGCCAGCGCTGCCAGGAGTGCCCGGTGCCAGCTCTCACAGCGGAGCTGCTGTGTCACAGCTGCCACACAAACCCGTCCTGCCTGATGAGATCTGCCACCTGAGACAATCAGTTCAAGAAGAAAGGCTCTGCTGCTGCCTCCTCTCCGTGGGCTCAGTCTGCAGAGGTCTGGGGTCCCTGAGGCAGAGGGGTCCCTCCGGGCTGTCCCTACACGTCGGTCTCGATGCGCAGCCGCTCCATGCGCCGCACGTTGCCCTCGGCGGCCACGCGGCTCGTGATGGGCCGGGCACAGGCCTGGGGGAACCAGCCCTGCTCCCCGTCCCGCAAGCGCTCCCCCCAGCACCAGCCTAGGAGAGAACAGAGCTGCTGACAGGGCCAGGAAGGGCTGTGGATCCTGGGAGAACCAGCCCTGCTCCCTGTTCCAGAGCTGCTTCCCCCAGCACCAGTTTAGGAGAGAACAGAGCTCCTGACAGGGCCAGGAAGGGCTGTGGATCCTGGGGGAACCAGCTCTGCTCCCCATCCCACAGCTGATCCCCCCAGCACCAGCCTAGGAGAGAACAGAGTGGGTGACAGAGCCAGGAAGAGCTGCAGATCCTGGGGGAACCAGCCCCGCTCCCCGTCCCGCAAACGCTCCCCCCAGCACCAGCCGAGGAGAGAACAGAGCTGCTGACAGAAGGGCTGCAGATCCTGGGGGAACCAGCCCGGCTCCTTGTTCCAGAGCTGCTTCCCCCAGCACCAGTTTAGGAGAGAACAGAGCTGCTGACAGGGCCAGGAAGGGCCATGGGTCCTGTGGATGCACCGCTCTCCTCCCTTGGAGGTTCTGGCTAGAGGTGTCCAGGTGATGCCTCAGGTTTTAGCTTTTTTATTTTTCAGATTCTATGTTGCTTTAGTGTGTGGGTCTGGGCTTCATATTAGGGGATGGTGAGCTCTCTGCACAGAGCAGGGAGACCAAGCAATTCCTGCTCTAGCTGGGGACCAAGGACAAATGACCCAAATCTTAGGCCCAGGAGCACAAAGAACATGGGCTGAAGAGAGAAAAACAAGGATGGGACCTCATGGGCTGAAGCTGGAATTGGACAATTAACTCCAATATGCAAATGGACCAAAACTTACAAAACTGAGAGACTCTGTACCAGCCATGCATTTTTGTGACCATTTTGGATTCACCTGGAGTGTGGCCCTGGCTGGGCTCTTGTGCTGCCCAAGGTGGATCCATTGAAGCCTCCTAATAAATCCCTACTTTGCTCTTTAGCTCCATCTAGTCTCTGTTCTAGGGCAGCCTCCACAAGGCACCACAGGGATGGCAGGGGAGGAGGTTTCAGATTTACTGCCTGTTCTGGGGGGTGTTTCCTCTCACTTCTGAGGCCTCTACTGCTGGGACCAGTCTGCACACAGGAGTCAGCCCTAAGGAACAAACCAGCTGCCCACGGCAGTGCCATGGGTCTCTCCAGCAGCCAGGCCTTCCTGGAAGCTTCTGCAATTGCTAAAACCCAATCCCCAGGGATCACTGAAGGCTCCCCCTGCCCCGGCTCTGCTGAGGTCAGAGCCTGCCCCACACCCAGCCCCACGCTCCCTGGCACTCACCGTCCTCTCCACCCAGCACCAGGACAACATCTGCCTGCTGCAGGGACAGCTCATCCGCCTCCTTGGCCAGGTAGGCACGGGTGATCTCCACCTGGCTCAGGTCTGCAGGACAGGGGACAGCAGGGACAGTGAGCAGGCACAGCCCCCTGCTCAGCCCTGACCCCCCAGCTGCCCACCCAGTGCTCCACAGCACAGCATGCTCCATTCCCTCCTGTCCCCGCCCCTAATCCCTCCAAGCTTGTCAAACCTCCTTTAACAACAGCTGAAGGCATTCCTGGAATTCCACTGTGCCTCCCAGGAAATGCATTTAAGGTCAATTGTGACTGATAACTTCAGGGGAGGCAACTTCTAAGGAGCAAGGCATGGGGATTTCCTCTCTATTGGCAGGAGTGGAGGAGAACCAGGTAGAAACCTGGGCCTGCAAATGCTCTGGTGTGACAGGGGATCCCTGCAGAGCCAGGCTGCCCTCTGGCACATGGTACCTCCTTTGGGAGTGGTGTCAGGCTTTTCCTTCTCCCTGTGCATTAGCGCTGCAATCCACCGGGCCCGGTCACTCCTGCCACAGGGAAACACAAACAGAGCCTTAGGACAGCACCCCTGTGGCCAGCAGCAGCTGGGACATTCCTAGCAAGATGAAAGCTTTCCAGGGGAGTCACACTGATCAGACTATTCAGTGTAAGGACACTTCCCAAGTGGCACACACGGCCCAGCTGCTTTGCTTCACTTGGACAGGGGAAGCTGATATGGGAATTATATGGGAAATATAAGAAAGAGGAAGGAAAAGAGCCTGGGGGAAGGCTGTGCACATCCCCATTTCCAGGAGGAGGAGTGTGGGGGGAAAGAGAGATCTGCAGAAGCCTCAGAGGATTCCAGAGCACCAGTTCATCCCAAGGGCCAGAGCAACATCCCAGCGTGGCACTCACAGCGTCTCTGCCGACAGCACCACCTCCTCCCGCCGGCCCTCGCTGTCCTTCTCCAGCACCACTCGCAGCAGGCGCCCACCAGCCTTGCCAGGAGGAGGGGAGGGTGGGTCTGAGCTCTCCACCTTCTCCACGGTGACCTGGTCCAGCGTGGCATAGTTCATGACCGTGTAACTCTCCTCGCTGCGGCACAGAGGGGATCAGCGCCTCAGCTGTGGGGTCTGGGACACTTCCCAGCTCCCAGCCCGGCACAGGAGGCTCAGCAGGCACTGCCAGAGCAGCCTGGAGCTGATGCTCAGGGTGGGACATGGCTCTGGGGACCTGCTGGTCACCCACCCACCGAGACAAAGCCACCGGTGGGACTCTTCTGGCTGACAAGGGACAGCTCACAAAGATGGAAATCTCAGATTTCTTTGGTATGCACTGCTGGGGAAATTGGAGTTTAATCCCCCTAGCTGTTCTTCAGGGAAATGCAGGGCTCTCACCTCTTCTTCTTGGTGATGATGAGGACGTCGTTGAAGAGGAAGAGGTGGCAGAGGCGGCCGGCGCCGCGGCGGAAGATGCCGGCCTCCTCGGAGAGCAGCAGGTGCAGCTCCCCCCGCTTCAGCAGCCACCGGGACACCGAGATCAGCGGGAAAGGCTGCAACAGAGCCAGCAAAAGGCTCAGGCACTGCCCTCCTCACCAGCAGCAGGCAAACTCAAGGCAGGAAGTGAACCTGCAGTAGTCCTGGGGTCAGTTGGGATGGACACATCACATGTGTTCAAGTGTTTTTTTAAAAAGGATTTTCCAGGGGGCAGGTGGAAGGCAGGGCAGCTGTGCACCCCACTCCAGCACACCAGATGCAGCCCCTGGACCCCAAAAGTGGTGACACTGTCATGGCTTTACTACACCCTTTAGAAACTGCCTGCATCCAACAGCCCAGTCCAGGCTCCCCAGAAGGATTCCCAGCACGGGTCTGATCTGCCTAAACAGGCCCCAGAAGAACTCCCACCACCTCTTCCACAAGACCTCACCTTCTTCTTCCCGAATTCCAGCTGTTTCTGCAAGGTGTACATCTGCTCTGTCCTCTCCATAGCCCGAGCTCCCTCATTGCAGCTCTTGACCAGCTGGGAAGAGAAGAACATCCCAAGGGAAATGGAGAAGGGTCAGAAACTGAGCTCATCCATCTCCCACCACCCCCAGCGTTAGGGACTGTCCTGCTGTCCTGAGCAGGAGAGACAGACAATTCCTGTCACAGGCTTCATGCCAGGTTGGGAAAAGGCAGTGGGATGCTCTGCTGGAGA